AAATGTCAAAATACTGAGCACACCCATTTTTAGCGGATTTTTAGGGTTAAAATTGACCCCCTTACACTTGTTTTAGCTCGCATTTTTCATAGGTAAAACCAAATGACCTAATATTTTGGATTTAACTATAGGTTGCCTAGATCTATCATTTAAGAAAATAAAATCGAAAAAAAAAATTTTTTCCCCGGCGACTTCTATGGAGAGTAGGGTGGTCTTCTCGCGGACCCTCTCTTAAGTAGATTGGAGGTAGTCGACCTTACTAATTGCAATATTAAAATCCTCCCAGATGCTATTGGAAATTTAAGTAGATTGCACGTACTCGGTCTTAAAGGAAATAAACTAGTAGGTTCACTTCCAACAAGTATGAAACAGCTAAATGTACTCTATGCGTTAGATATCAGCAACAATTCTTTGATTAATTCAATTGATTCATTCAATGGTTCAAGCTCATTGAAGGTACTAAGAGCTTCTTGTTGTGGACTGGTCCATCTACCAAAACTACCTTATCTATCGACTCTGAATGAGATCGAGCATAAAATAACTTCATTATTTGGATTCAAAAATTCCAGTACACTCTACTTACCTTCATATACAGGATTTAATCTTCCACCGTCTGTATATTTGTCTCAAGGTATATGATCGTTTTTGAATGTGCTTGACTTATCAAAAAATCAATTAACAACTCTGCCCGAAGAAATCTACAATTGTTTCTATTTGCATGAGCTCGACTTATCAGACAATAAATTAACGACTCTGTCTGAAGAAATCTATCATTTTCAATATTTAAAAAAGATAAATCTCCAAAATAATGCATTTAGTGTTCAAGAACGTGAATGAATTATGGGTGGCTTTCGAAGAGCATCTTATTCTAGGCCTTTGATTTTAATATGATTAACAACCTATCAACAATGAGTGAAACAATTAAAGAACAATGCACAAATAGTCGCAATGTTTTGTTTTTGTATATACTGAAATGAAATAAAGGAAATTTATAACCATACGCACCAAAAAAATGATAATGGTTCAATATTTAGGTTGAGAAACTATTCAAGGATGGGTGTGGGTGTTAAACTTCTCTTCATTCACATTCACGTCCACATGCGCACCCTGTTCTACAGAATTCTGAAAGGCACGAGTAAAAAACATAGTACGAACAAAAAGGTATGTTAGTACAAGCCGTTTGAGACTAAACTATGGGTGTGTCTCTTCAAAATTATATCAACACCCACACCCCAATTGATTTTCACTAAATGCATTTATCTTGTTTCAGAACGATACTTTTATTGAAGATATTTCGCCAACAAGAAGTTTCTCCAACAATCTAATGTTTCTGAAGAATAATGAAACAAATACAAGTTATTATTATAAGAAAAATAAAGTCAAATCAAAACACAAGCCATTCGTTATTGAGAAGAAGAAGAAAATGTAATCATTATGTAAACTAAAATAATTCTATATTTTCAAGTCATTTTCATAGACATGTTTACTCATCAAAAAAGATTTTCATTCTGGACTCATTTGTTATAGTTGATACAGTTCCGAAGAGCTAATTCCGACTCCACCAGTAGCTAATACTTTTCCATTCATTAATACGCATGCTGCATGAGCATGTCGGCCATAACTCAAACTAGAAGTGATTGTCCACAGTCCTGTCGATGAATCATACAACTCAGCGGTATTTATGGTACCTAAAGAGGATGAATATCCACCAGCAACCAATACTTTACCATTTGTTAATACGGATGCTGTGTGATAATATCGACCATAATTCATACTCCCAGTAATTGTCCATATTCCTGTCGATGGATCATACAACTCAGCAGTATTCATATCAGCTCCATTATATCCGCCAGCGACTAAAACTTTTCCATTTGCTAAGATAGATGCTGTGTGAATATATCGAACATAACTCATACTACTCGTAAGTGTCCACACGCCTGTTGACGGATTATACAATTCAGCAGTATTTAAATAAGTGCTAGTACCAGAATAACCACCTGCGACTAATACTTTTCCACTGGCTAACATAGATGCTGTAGCAAAATATCTGGTATCACTCATACTTCCCGTAAGTGTCCACACGCTTGTTGAAGGATCATACAACTCAGCCGTATTTAAATAAACTCCATTTGCATATCCACCAGCGACTAAAACTTTTCCGTTTGTTAATACTGATGCTACATGAAGATACCTAGCATAAGTCATGCTCCCAGTGATTGTCCACATTCCTGTCGATAGATCATACAACTCAGCACTATTTAAATGACTACCAGAGGTAGAATATCCACCTGCAACTAATACTTTTCCATTTGTTAATACAGATGCTGAGTGAACATATCGAGTAGAACTCATACTCCCAGTGATCGTCCATAACCATGTTGCTGGATCGTACAACTCAACAATACTTAAGGCACCAAGAGATGTAGAATATCCACCGACAAGCAAAACTTGTCCATTGGTCAAGAGAGACATTGTGTGATAATATCGGTCATAACTGGTACTTTGAGTAAGCGCCCATCCTACAAACAAATACTTATTCTATACAGTTTATTGACAATAAACATATTATTTATTTTTCAACGGTTCATTGTCTAATTACTAGTGTGAAACTGACAGCAGTAACCACGATCCAAAAGTTGGAAATTCAAGAAAATCAAGGAATTCAAGAAATTCAAGAAAATTTCTAGAATTTCTTGAATTACCAATTGTTGGATCGTGATTATATCTCTCATTTACAGACCAGATTATGAGTCCTTGATGGTTGTTAATTCACAGTTATAGTATGGTTTATTTCCTGCCTTGGCTCCCTACTTTATACTCTTGCAGTCTACGAATTACTCTATAGTAATCAAGTCTTTATTTTTTGGTTTCAGATGTGTGTTTTCCATTAAAAAGATACTAGAGAAACAAGATGACAGTAAGAATGAAAGAAAAATAATAACACAAAGAAAATTTTTTTTTCATATATTGATCTATTTGGTATAAATGGATAATATAGAAAGAAAACCAAAGCAGAATACTAAGAGGATAGCACTAAATAGGAAAGATTTTCATAGCTTTTTCCAGAAAATGATAAATCTAAAAATTGAAAACTAGATAATTTCATGTTCATGGGACGTAAAAGAATTCGTTAGCTTGTGTTTCTAGCTGACGACATAAATTAATAATGTCATCATGCTAACCAGGTCACTTCTACACTCTGGATAAAGAAAAGACCTAATAGTTCAGACATCTTTTTTGTTTCAAACGGATACACAGAAACAAAGAAAATCAAACACCAATGAAACGTTATAAATTCCTTGAAATTATCTTTCAACTCGAACAAAGATCTCGTGTCACAAACAGGTTTTCATATACATATCACAGATTTCTATAGAAAAATCACAATCGGTGAAATTCAGCACAGTACTTATTTTAGTGAATTTCGTGGAAATATAGAATTTTTTTCTACACTCCATATAAGACTAAAGAAAAAAAATATTGATGAATGTAGAAAGTATATCTTCTCATTATTGGACACCATCGTATACGTAGATACAACTCAAATCTGGCTTTACAGCAGCATTTCGTGAAACTATAGAAATGAAAAAGCAACATTTTTATAGGATTCTCTTCAACTATATAGGACATTGATTCCTCCCTGCCTCTGAAAACATTTTTAGAGGTCTAAAACAACTGAAATAGAATTGCAGATTTCTGAGTGATTTTTTGTACATAAATTGTATGAGTTAAATAAAAATATCAAAGAGTTCTGGGAAACGATAGTGTAATATATTTTTTTTCTATGGAAATATAAAGAAGTTAGTTTGATCTTTTATTTATTCTCAACTGTTTGACATATACATGTCAAATAAGTTTTAATATGAAAAATCAAATTGAATGACAATCATAAAAAAGACTTGTTGTTAATTTATAGAATATAAACGACTGTGACATTATTTTCTCTACAGATACAACCAATTTCTTAGAGTATGCACTTAAACAGTCTATGACAAAAACTAAGTATTGTGAACCGATAGATAGAGATCTTCTAGGCTATACACCTACAGCTTTTGCATGCTTTGAAGTATTTTCATTCGGTTGAATAAAAGTTGTGAACTAATTGCATTTATTGCTGAAACTAGTAACATTTTGATGGATCTTTGCGTTGAAGCATTCTAGAAATTTTGTTAGACGTGTCTCGCATTCGAGAATAGTTCTCAAACACTCTAAGATACGTTTATTGTATTTGTATCATATCGTCTTTCATAATGCTGTGTGGGTGTGGCTCTGAATCTTCAGCTCAACCCCATACACACTCCAGACCCACACTATTCTGATATTTTGGTGTTTTTTGTTGTGGGATTTTCTTCTTCAGTATTTGTTCTCGAAGTTTAGAAATTAACTTGAAAGATGAAAGATTTTGTACAGAATATTGTAGCATATCTTGAATCGGATCAAGTACGTTTTTAAAAAACTATATCCGTTATCAATTTTTTCGTTTCTTTTTATTTTCGCTATTGTCTGATTGAGTTAACGTTAATGTTGTCACCTTAAATCTTCCTCAAAAAGCTTATGCAAAAGACAAAGTCAGCAGTTTTGTATAGAAACGAATTCTGCATTCTTTACTTCAGTTTTCTCTTAAAACAAGAAGAAGAAGTTTGATCTGATCTGATAATCCCATTATTTATCGGCATTCACATTGATACCTTATGTACATTACGGCTTGTCCAAACGGCATGCTGTGACATTTTTTGACACACTTTTTTCTATTATCTCGAAAACTATGAAAGCTAGAGAGTTCGTTCAAATGCCATTCGATGCACCTTATCGTGCTCTATTGAAGCTATAAAAACGACATTTTTTAGTTAAATTCTCGAGCTTTCAGAGAGGGTTTTTAGTCGTGTAGCGCTGTGACACAAAAAGACCATTTTTCTTCAGGATCGCTCATAAAACTCCAATTTCTTGTGAAGCTGTTTCTCCAGATGAAACACTTCTAGAGTTAAGTTTTACAGAGCTTCGAACGGGCTTTTAGATGCTAAAAAAATTTCTCTAAACTATTTTTGCTTAGATAAAAAAATGAAAAAAAAACAAACGTAACGCTGTGACATTGTTTTTTATCGATCAATTTTAAGACGCTTAGCATACTCAGAATGACTTGATTTTCATAAGTGTTAGTCTTTTCTGTACAGTTAGTCGTTCTACGCAAGAATGAGATCGATACATTCACATGGAAGCTCATAAACTATATAGTAAGTTAGGAACTGCATAAGACACTACAAGTTGTTCTTAGCTACAAAAGCCAAAACTAAATAAGCCATTTTGTAGAGGATGAAATTCTACATCGAATGGTGTATCTTTCGGTATTTTTTGAAAAAATTTCTTGATTGAAAAATTCAAAACTCGATTTTTGAAAAGTTTAAAACGCCGTTTTCAATGGCAATATTTAATTTTTTTACAAAATAAATATCAAATTCGTAATCAGCGTTAAAAATTGAATCTTGTAACTCATTCAGATCCATTCAACTTGAAAAAAAAATTTTCAAAACTTCATCACCGAAGTGTCGCATTACGTGGACAATCCAATTAGGTAGATTACCTAAACTATATGGTATGCATTTACTTCAAGAAAATATGATTCCTTTATGAGAAGTTACCGATATTTTAGTCTAGAACAATAATAGATGCGTTATGAATTACTTTGTAACATAACTGTCAGATAACAATAATTCAACATCCCATTATGGGATCAACTGTAAAAAAACATCGGAAACGTAGGACGACTATGAAATCATACTTGAATACATAATGTCTACGGTGGCTACTACGCTGCTGTTTACGATTCTCCGTATATGGTCTTCTTAAATGTTATCGTATTTCATCGTATCAAGATCGTCTGCAATCACTCGTAAGCAATAAGTCGTTATAACCACCGTATTATGTCATATTTTTATCGTCTACGATCGTTTTTAGATTGTTTCATTTGACACGGATAACATACGAATTCAACTGAACAACTATGATTCAAACTTTCAAGTTTGAAATGTATTCCTCTACGTGTTGGTGCTTTCTATGAATCTACACAAAGCATAAACTCCCGCTCTAAAACTTTAGAACATTGAAATTCAGTTTGCAGGTCTACTCTATATGAACCGATGATTAGGAAGGGTAGTTTTGTCAGCATGAAAATGATGTGTAATTGTTATTTTCGATCATCCGATGTTCTATGTAACTCAAGAGAATTTATAATTTCGATATGTAACATTTTCAAACAGTATTATGTGTTTTTCGGAAGACATTCTAGAGTTTAGAAATATACAAAAAGATTTGAATTCTTTAGAAACATAGCAGTATACACCGATTTTATCGGGAAAAGATAATCTCACTGATTAAGAGTTTTTCTACGTAAGCGATGATTACAAAGGGAAAAGTTCTTGCTAAAATACGCAGATCGAGTAAATGAAAATAGTACATACCAGGCATTTGTATTGAAGTGGTTGTTGAAGTTGTAGCTGACGTCGAAGTGGTTGCTGTAGTTGTCGTAGATGTCGTTGTTGTCGTTGTTGTTGTTGTAGTCGAAGTTGTTGTTGAGGTTGTTGAGGTTGTTGATGTTGTTGTTGTTGTCGTAGCTGTTGTTGCAGTTGTTGAGGTGGTTGTGGCTATCAATACAATTCTGGCTTTACTTATTATTAAGATTAGATGCAAGGGGGAATCAGCAGATTCCCATGAACTAGAACCAGAAGAATCTCGAGAATTTATAGGATATGTAATCTAGAGAAGCAAAACAAAAATTCAGATGTGGTTATTGTTCATTAATAACCAATGCTATTGCATTTTTTTCATGTTTATCAACTCATCGATCTAATGAAAACAGTACCGGTTTATTAGCAATAGATGAAAAAGTTGCAAGCAACTGCAAAGATCAGCACATTGAAAACTAAAATATGGAAGCGGTAAGACTACGAAAATCAGAAATTTTCCTTCTCAAAGAGATCAGCTTTTCTTGAGTAATTCAGAAATAAATTCGAACTTTCAATGCGACTCACTATACGAGATTATCATATGATTAATACAAAGTTATACAGGACAGAACCATACATTATTCACAGAAGATGATAATGAATTTTGCTCATTTTGTTTCACTGCAGAAATGTAAGATCATTTTCATATTTCGCTAGTTCCACTTATATAAAAGTAACACAGCATAAACGACATGAGAACTGATCTGTTCAAAAACACGTAAAATAGTAGAACTAAAGATATCGCTCCAGTTCCATGATCGAAAAGGCAAATCATTTTGTTCTTCATATTCTTCATACTGATCAAATATGTTGTGAGTATGCCCAACATATTCCAACATTCTCTGTAGTTGCTACATCCTCCTGTGTGATTATATCATATTATCTATATTTTGATTTAAAGGCTAGCATCGCATTTTGGGAGGTTCACAATAGCTGAACTTTGATTTGTAGCAATTACAATAAAGAAATGTTGTCTGCTGGTGTTAAAAAACGAAAAAATTTCAGCAACAAGATGGATCTCAAGATTCTTATTTCAAGAAAAGCGATCTTCGTTACATTTATTTTATGAAAAGACTAAGTTAGAATTCAACAAATCATACTAATGTAGTTTATCCTCACAGGGCATTTAAGTTATAGAGATAAATCACTGAATTTCAACATATAATCTTCTTCATTCTTTCATTTAGCTTTATGGACTCTTCTACTAAACATGGTGAAGTCGATACGTCGACAGTGTAACTTCGTTAGTTATAACAGGATATCATAAAGTTTCTTTGGTGTCTATATTTTCAGTTTCATTCAGTGATGACGCGATTGTTCAAACTTTTGAGGGTCTTAGTGGAATATCATAGCACCCTACCACACATACAGGATAAGAATACCACAATGTCTAGAAATCAGGTAAAATGACTACTGCAAATTTAGACGAATACATATAAAATCATGAGTATACAAAAGTGAAAACAAAAACAAACTCATTTCAACCCTATATGATCATACTTTCAACATGTGCAATTCAAATTCGTTCAGAAAACTTTTCCGAGTAATAATTTATTTTTAGATGCTTTACTTCTAAAAACAAAAGACTTCCAAGAAATAATTTGGAAAAAAATTCTAATTTTTCTACTATTTTCGGATATATTTCCATTCGATGGTAGTTAATTTCTAAACACTACTTCTCTGAATCTCAACGATCAGCAGTTTCTCTTCTGTAAACGTTTTAGATTCGCGACCAGTCGTGCATTGGCACCTCTTCAGGATGCCACTCACAGTTAACCGCTACCATTTTGAACTTCAGTTTGTTAATTGATGACCCTTTTCTATTTTCAATGTAACAGAAGCATGCTTCCATCACTTTACAATATTGTTCAATTGACAATGAAAGGATTTTCAATGAATCATTCAAAATATTGCAGCTATTATGAATATACCTATGAGTAGAATATTCTGCTGCATTGTTTATCAAACATCGCCGCAGAATTCAATATTTTTCGCCCAAGTAACTCTAACTGAAAGTCAATCAAAGAGTTTTTGGATGAGTGTGGATGTGTCTCTTTGAAACGATACCAATGCCCACACCCACTGCACACGCATACTTACACCCTATCACATAAAATTGAAAACAACAATAAAATCCAATCTTCTCTACTGCGCACAAAAAAAAATAAACATTCAAACAATGTTTGATTGGTGATAGAGAGCAACAAAGAAACCTTATCCGTTTTAATTAAAATCTAGACTTACTTCAAATGTTCCTCTCGTTCTAATGAAAATTTCTAGTTGCTGTTTTCATATTCACAGATGAGATGCAGATTTATTCAGCGGATACATTGAGAAACCTTCGTATTTCAACTTGTTTTGAATTTTTATAAATTCTGCATATGAAAAAAAATTTTCTTGCTACTGCGAACATTCATTTATTACTATTGCAGACCTAAATCAAATAATTCTTTAACATAATTTAGCTGATCTCTATATAAATTCATTACAACAAATATAAAATCTCCTAATCGATATTTTTGCGAACGTTTAAAATTTACTTTTGTAGAATTCTTGGCAGATAGCTTTAGGAAGCATGAAGCATTCTAAAGATGAGTTATACTTACTCTGTGGTGCAGACGTAGACCAAAGCGTGATGACGGTTGCCAATGCTATACCACCAACAAGTGCACCTAATAATAAACCATAAATGCATGGTGATAATAATTTGCAATATTGTAATCGTTTTCTTGATAATATCAAACTAAAATCATAGTAATCTAATCTATATGGAAACGGTATGGATTATCAATATTTCTCACTTATTGTCGTTCTCATCATTGAATTGACATTCTTTAGGTTCGACAGAAAAAGCATCATTCAAACAAATGCTGCTATTGTCTCTCACATTCGACCCATATGGACGGGACGATTGGCTACTTTCTGCTCTTGTCCATTCACTCATTGTGGATATTGAGACACCGTTATAATTTTCGTGTATTTGTTATTGATGATTGATGCAGCAATGAAAAAAATAACTTCGATTCTTCTCGCACAATAAAAACAAATCTGCGCTACATATATATATTACAATATGAAGCATTCATAAGGCATCGTACAATCTCGCGACTCTGTTGATGATGTGCATGTGAATCAGAGTTCGAAACGAATGACAAAACATCGATTCGATTTGGCTAGACTTAGACTACATTCGATCGATTTATATACTTTTCAGAAAAACATATCATATGTTTCTGATAAATATGGATTATTTAACAATATTGTCTCTTCAAGATGACATGTGTGTATCGGTAGTCTCTGTATACATATAATTTTCATGATTTTCAAAATATATCTACAAGCATCATATATTTTTAAAAGAAAAAAAGTACAAGTAGTGAAGCCTGATGAAGTAAGTCCAAAAACAACTTGATGAAAAAAAAAATGTTTTGTCAAACGAACGAAGCAAAAAAAATAAGATTGATTGTTTACGGATCCAAGTTAGATCTTCGTCAAGTAATAATAAAGTCTGCTGCGCGGGTATGGGTGTAGGTGTGGCTGTAGCTGTGGGCATGGATGTGTGGGGTGCAGAGCCCGCTGTGTCCAAGGATTTTTGAACCCAGATCCAATTATTAAAAAATTTTATACCCGAACTCGCACCCGTTTATAATTTGTTGTACCCGAACCCGCCTGTTTCAAAAATGTTGGATCTGAACCGGGCTGCTTAAATTTTTTGGATTCAAACACAATAATGAATCGGTTTAGATAATATGGTCAAAAAGAGTTTTGTTATTTTTTATCTATTTTCTAAATTTCATTTCTTTTTTTTCATAAAACGAACAAAACTTTAAAAAAATTCAAAACATATTATGTGCATCAAAGTTTCCTTCAGACCCAGACTCGACCAAAGCAAAATTTTTAGATCCGGACGGGCTCTCGTGGGGTGTGAATCTTTTCTTCACTAACATACACCCGGTATCAACATCTGAAACTATGCTGCCGATATTTCGCTTCTTGATCAATCATTCAATCGATGGATTATTGAAAATATTACAAGCAAATTATTTTGAAAAATGAGAGAATATATTATCCATTAGAATGGAAATTGTTTAATAATGAAAACCAAACATAATCTTCTTCCTAACGAATTTTATGAAAAAAGTCGAGGTGAACACTTTGCTCAATTCAAAAAACGATCTTGGTCAAGATTGTGGACTGCAAGATTCGATATTGACATATTCTTCATCAAGTTTCCACAAGTATTATATCTCCTCGCGCTAGTTGTTAGAGAGTACTAGTCGTGATTACTGAGAGGTAATAATTGAAAGAACTTGCTTTTGATTAAGACAAGTAAATGAAATGATTTATTTATTTTAATCTGCGTCATTCTATTCTTTTATAATGAATAAATACTTTTACATAATATGTATTGGTTTGGTACAAGGAACAAATTTTGAGGAGAAAAACGAAACACTGAGAAGAGATAAATTGTGAAACAAGAGTTTTCTTTAACAATCTGACTCAACGAATAAAATGAAACATGACTACTTGAAAGATATCAAATCATGCAGGAAGTGTGTGTAGAGTGTAGGCTGATATAAATCTTCTCTTTCACTACACTCACAACCGAATCGATAGACAGCTAGGATTTAGACCGTCTGAAAGTAGAAAGTTTATTTCTATGTCACATTGATCGGAGCTATCCTAAAGTTCGAGAGGAGATTCTTTGACCATCAACTTCGAAAGAACACTATCGAACATTTTGTACTATGATTTTTCAGATTTAATCAGAAGAAATATCGTTCTTCAGTCAGTCCTTCACTGAATGATGCGTTTTTCAGCGATATACTTTTTAGCACCATCTCTGATAGGACTAGAAATATGTGATTCGCATTCTATGAGTTATATAATTAATATTATTACGGACAAAGAAATGTATTTAGAGAACACGAATAGATCAATTCGGGTACTTTCTAGTCTATCTATTCGTTTAGAATAGTTTCTGCACTTCATAGGCTGTAGGTGTGAGTGGGAGTGGGAACAACGAATAAAAGAACAGTCATGCATCCCATCTTAGGTCGAATTGACATCAGTCTTTTTGTTATCTTTGTGACGTTTGTATAACAGTTATATTTGTTGTTTAATCACAACAATGATCATGTAAGAATTCTATCTTATTATAATAACGTTTGTTATTATTTATTCCAAGAAGATTTCTCGTTGTTACTCTCTATCAACGAACAGAAAACTTGATAAGTTTAGAAATTTAATATTAGATTTGTATATTGATTTAATGCTCGTCCCACATGAGATTTATCTGAATTATAAATACAGGAAAATAGAAATAGATTCATGATAAGTAACAATGCTAAATAACTATTTCTATCGTATTTCTATAACATGTTATTAAAAGTTCTTGGATAACATACATATATTAAAGATATTATAGTAAAATTTTATTCACTACAAATTTTAATTAATTTTTTTCCCTTACAGAAATAATTTTCAGCATTCGTAAGATGTAATTGATTTGTAACAAAAAATGGTGTTATGATCGATTTTTTGGGAAGAAAAAAAATCAAATTGAATAAAGCGATATTTTATCGACAGCGTTGGTGTTTTAAGGGGGCCCCCTAAGAAAATTTTTTTTCTGAGCATCCAATCTTGATGAAATTTTTGGCGGAGGTGTATCTTGGGCTAGGCACCTTACAGTAAAAATTTCAGCTCGATATATTGAGTGTACGAAGAGCTAGCTTAAGTTTATGGGTCAAAATTTAGGTTTCCATGCGTCCCAAATTTCTCCGCCACTGTAAATGCTAGAAAGTTCGGGTCGGTTTTAAAATGTAGCCCAGACATGGTGCTACAACTTAACAGGGCCCGATTTTTTGTTTTTTTCCTAGCTTGTGTTTCTAGAAGACTTCTCTGGTAAAATACGAAAAACCCAGGGGGTGTAGGTCCGGAACAGTTAGTTTTCAATAAATATTAAGGGCAAAATCAAAAAATCCGGCTCTGTTAAGTTGTAGAGCTAATTTTTGTCTTCATTTTGACACCAAGCCCAGCTTCCTAGCGTTTAAAATGACGGAGAAATCTGGGACGCACGGAAACGTCAAAATCAAAAACTCTATTATGAGAAAAACGCAAAATAAGTTTCCACACTGAAAATCAAAATTTTTCCACTCATAAACTAATATAAAAAAAATCTTCGAATAATTTACCATAGATTAATGATTAGAACGGATGTAATGAACATATATAAAGATATACAAGAGAACTTTTTTTCGTTTTCACATGGACATATTACGTGTACCGAGATGTCAACAAAAATCACCTGTCAAAAAACCTATAAATCCATCTAAATAAATATACATCATGTGGAAGCAGTATTTTCAAATTATCTAAAACATTTCAAAATATGTTTTAACCATCATGATTGAGAATGTTATTTAAAAAAAGTTTATTAACTAGTCTAGCCAAAGTAAAAAAAAATAGAAATAAGAAGATAATAACTAATGAAAGAATGAAGTGATACCAATACTACATAGAAGTAGTGTTTATAAAATTTCGCATGAGGTTCTCTGAAAGACAAGCAGAAAAAAATAACAATGTAATGCAGAAAATAGTTCTTTAAAGTTAAGAAAAATGAAAAATCTAAAACAAACGATGGTAATATATCGAGAATCAATCATCACCTCCTGGTTCATAGTCATTATTATCATCATATTCATCTTGATCACTTTCCATTTGTTCAAATACGGTTAAATTATGTGAGATATCATCAAAATT